ATATGCACAAATAAATAGACATATGCACAGAAAAGATTCAAAGCGTAGATCAAAATCTGTTAGCAGTTTTTGCTTTCAGACTTATGGATTTAGATGCTTCCTCACATTTTTCAAATTCTTTACTGTAAATCCATTCATCTTAACAATTTTATTTTTTCCAAACTAAGGAGAAAAACTGTAAAAAGTCAAGTAAGAATGTTCACATTATGCAGGAGATACTCACTAAGACATATCATACTTAAAAACTAAATAATTCTTAAGTATAGGTACATATATTTGCATATATAGTATGGAAAAGAAAAATTAATGTAAGATTATTATTTTTCCCTTTTTTGTGTAGTACTTTGACAGCAATAAACAAAAGGCCATCACTCTTCTTTCTGAGCAAATGTTTATATTATCCAAACACAATCTAGATTTAATAGCTGATCAATAATTGAATATATGTGGTACATGGAATGGAAACACCAGGAACATGGAGCCATTGGAAAGATCATGCACAGACCGACAAGAGAAAGTTAACTATAACTGCAGAACCGTTCTCCCTACATCTTTATCACAGTTCTCCCTGCATCTTTAACAAAGATAAGTCTATATGCTATTTGGACACAGAACAACGATAATGATTCGTAGTGTGAATTCAAAGCACAGCAAGACTGTAAGGGAAAGTAGGAGCATCACTTATAACACTAACAGGTACGGATCACTTTCATGCAAGAAAACTAGTTTGTTGCTGTAACATGAAAGGCTTTTTCTGGGTCTGTCACTGCTGTAGAGCACCTGACTTCATGAATAAACATTTAACAATTAAGCAATAAAACTGAACCTTCTATCTTCTTTTGCCTAATTACTAGAAAATTTATTGTATCAAAATACTACTTCTGTCACTTAGTCCCTCTCCCTTGCTTTTGCATCTCTAATAATATTGCCATGAGCTCATCACAGTGAACTATCTTTCTCTGTGAAGAACAAGCAGGATCCCAAACGAATCTCTTTTACCAGTAGGAGAAAAAGAAAAATGAAGGAAATATATTCTATATCCTCTCTAATTTCCAGAGACATGACATTCCCAGAAACTCCGCTTTCTTTTCTCAGTTTTCTTCATCAGTCCGTGTCAACAGTGCACAAAGCTCCCAATCACTGGGCGGCACCGGGTAAGGCACATAACACATCTCAATTCCTGCTTCACTCCGTCCCCTCCCTCTCCCCTCCCCTCCATCTTTGGTCCCCTCCCCCTTTGAGAAGGATCTATCTCCTTACTTCCTACTGCTTCTCTTTTGTTTTGCTCTCTGTTTATACTCTGGGTTTTTCATATAAAGAGGAAATACTTTTTATGTGTTCCTTTGCTAATCTTCCACACTGGAGTAATGTGCCCTGTTACTTCCCAACTATTCCCAGAGAGAGAGAGAAAGGAAAGGAAAAACGACTTAGCACAAGGGAATTTGTTTTCTTTTTCTATTAAGATTACTTTTTCCATGCAAAGACAGGTGTTAAATCCCATAAGATACGGTATCTTGTTAAAAAAAATAATTAAAGCATTTTTTACCAACACTAGATTTTATAAATTTCATTAATTATAAAGTTAGGCATATTTAAAATCTTTAGGTGCTCCAAATAAAATTTTTTCCTTAGAAAACAATATGTAGTTTGAACTAGAGGCTGTAAATCCTTGTTGAAAATATGCTCTGTGTGTCCTGAAACAGAGACTCTTCCTCTTCACAAGAAAAGATGGAAAGAGAAAGAGAGAGAGAGAAAGGGAGAGAAAGAGACAGAAAGAGAGAGAAAGAGAGAAGGAGAGAGGGAGGGAAGGAGGGAATCAGGGAGGGAGAGAAGGACAAAGAGGGAGACAGATATAGACAGAGACACACAGAGAGAGACAGCGACAGAGAGAGACTCCCAGAGACGGAGAGACAGAGACAGAGAAAGAGACAGAAAGAAAGGAGGGAAGTGAAGTGAAGTGAAGACAAGGGCAGGGGAGGGGAGGGACAGGAGGGGATGGGAAGAAGAAATAAAGGCAAGAAGAGGGACAGAAGGAGAATGGATCTGAACGAGTCACATTTCATGAAACGTGAAATCTCAAGATGTTTCTGACTCTAACAGACTCCCTTCTTGCCTACCCCATTCTGTTTGCTTAGCCCTGATTCTGATGCCTTTTCCTGCTCAGAAATCCTTCACTGTAATGATCCTTCCTAGCTTCGCAGGGCTTTCTACCACGACACGAACCCACACCAGGCCCACCACATTCTCTAGAAACCATGTAAGAGTTCTGCTCTCCTTCTCTTCCAAAAGTCTTGCTGGGCATGGTGGTGCACTCTTGTAATCCCAGCACTTAGGAGGCTGAAGCAGGAAGAACATTGTGAGTTCAAGACCAGCCTGGGCTGCAAAGTGAATTCAAGACCAGCCTGAACTGCATAAGGAGACCCTGTCTCAAAAAGGTAAATAAATAAATAAATAAGTCAGTCTTCTCAGGGCTTTAGGGAGTAATATCCAAATGTCTATAAATAAATAAACAATTACTCCAAAGAAAAATGGTAGTAAAGGGGTTAGTGTTGCTTTCTGATCCTACTACATGATACTCAAAGAACTTTAAGATAAGCCCTTGGGTGTAGGGGTAATCATCTGAAACAGAAGACTAAGTCTATTCAGTCTGGATGGAAAGACTAAGTCTATTCAGACCGAGGAAGGAAAACAATGGCAACAGAAAAAGTAGTTGTGGCCTTTAGCTGCCTCTTTCAAATTACTGAAAGTGAAAAGACAGAGAATAATCATTCAATAGCAATCCAACCTGAGAGCCTTTTGAAAACTTAGATTTACACTAAGCTTGACTTCTTGTCAGTGCTGAGGAGACAGGAAAGGTCTAACTGTGGGATGGGAAAGGATCACACACTTAATGCTTCCAACCTAAAGTTATTAGGAAAAAGTGCTAAGAAGAATATCTGTTTTTTCAAAGTCTTCTCCTTAGAAAATAAGTTTGCAAGGACCCAAAGCTGTGCTTACAAATATACCAAGATCAACTCTTTTCTTTAGTGAAAAATCAACATTTGATTTAGTAATGCAGGAAATTCTTCACATTACCTGCTTAGAACTAAAGCTCATTTAGGAGCAATAAATAATCATACACACACTGAACATGGATATAACGAGCCATGTTGTGAGTTATGCCATTGTATTTCCAAACTAAGTCAACATTTATTCATCTAACCTTGAACCCTGCTCCAAATATCACTGCCTGTTTTTCAACTATCATTGGCCACACTATTCACAGAGAAGAACAGTTCTCCACAAGAAATTGAAAATTTTATATAAACTGCTTTCCTCAATGAGTATAATTCCAGAAAGGTCTTTTTTTTTTCTTCTCTATACATAGTGGAAGCAGTCATTAAAATAAACCCAAGGCTTTAAACTCAATTATTTGTATAGTTTTTTCTGAAAGTTGTAATAACCAGAAGCTGAAAGGTCTTTTCTCCTTGGATCTGTGATTCATCCTCTGTTCAAACAATAAATGATTAATTACCACCCAACCAATCCAAGAGCCTCAACTAGATATGTGGAACACAGATCAACAAAGGACACTCTGCCCCTACTCTCAGAGGGCTTAGAGTTCCACAGAAAGTTCTGGGCACAAATAAAAACCACCAGACATAGAAATCTTTCCACTTGATAATGGGAAGTGCATGTGAAGTTATGGGAGTATTTACAGAACGGCAGGAATGGTCTTTTATATTTGCTATACACGGTAAGGCAGAATGGACAGAAATGACAGCACAAACTAAGCCTAGGACATTTTTGCAGCCAAAACTGAAAGAAAACATTCAAACTGTGGTGATAGCATAGGTCCAAGCCGCAGGGTTTACTTGGGGGATGGTGCACCGCGGAATCTAAATTTAAACCAAAAATAATGGTCAAGCAGGAAATGAGATAATTCACCTAAGTATAATCATCTTCAACTCTTGAGCAAAACAATAAAATCTGACTGGGATATTTGCAAGAGAATTTCTATACTCATAAAATACAAAGCTTGTTTGCTTGCCTCTCTTGAGTTTCAATTATTGCTTTTATATATCACTTTCTAGCTGCTTGTATAAAATCATCCAATTTCATGTACTTTAAAATCAATATTCACTAAATTTGATGGATTTCTTTTCTCCAGTATCATTTTTAAATAAATAAAAATTTACCATAGTTTTAATATACTACCTGGCAAACCAAACTATTAATTATTTTTTAAAGTGTAAAGCAAAAAAGAGAAGAGAGTTCATCACAGAGATTATAGTAGAAAAGTATAGCTTTTCAGCTTTATAGTTTAGAAAAATGGGAGCACAGTTGATATTCAAAAAGGTGCGGTGATGGTCACTGGCTGTCCCGCAAACACTTACAAAGAACACAGATGTGTACAGCAGAGAGCTCTACGTTTGTTATGCAAAACAGCGGGATAGCAGTGGAGAAATAAGAAGTGTTTATTGTTTAGGTATTTTTTCCTTTTTGATGTAATATAAATACTCCTCTTACAATAATTCAAAACTTGGTGAATAGTAAGAATCAGAGTTTTTATAAAACATTCAAGAATACTCATCCTAAATCTTCAACTATCCTGACCTGGGACCCAAATGGCAAGAAAGACTCGGGAACTAGCAAGCTCACCTCTCCACTCCTCCACATACCCACCTGCGCTGCTAAGGCAAATCAGTGCTCTTGTTCCTTTCCCTGAAATCACTAACAGTAAGTAGCACACAAATAGCAGAGGGTTAGAGGTTGATTATAATGACAGAATCATCATCAAATATTATTTCTTTAAGCTCGGCAATAAATCTGTGCAACTAAAGTCTCGTTCTTGAAATCTTTTTCGTATTAAAAATGTCTAGGTTTGGTTACTGTTTTAGGCAGGCTTCTGCAAACACCTTACTCTTGTATCCTGACAATTCATGATTCATGAGGCGAAGCCCATTCAAATGAGAACACATTGCTAAGCAACACACAAACAAAGGCTCACCCACCTTGGAACCCTGGCCGGCAACTCTGAGCTTACAGAGCGGCTTTGTATTCCGCTTGAAATCTGCCTCTGTCTCAACCCTTTTTTGTCCTGTACACGTCTCTGAATCTGTTGATAAAATGTTGTGTTTAATTGTGGTGCATTACTTTCCCCAGGTAGAAATTCAATCCATCACGCAAGGTAAGAATTTTCTGTTGTATTTCTTGTGTGTGTACTCCTGAGTGTGAGTATGTGTAAATCTGATTTTGATGCCTTAGAATCACTCTAAAAGTGAGAATCCACTCCACTGCCTTGTCCCAATATAACTCTTTCTGTGAAAGATGAGAATCACTACAAAATTCTCAATGGTTGTGCTACTGCGTGAAGAAAAGGGGCAAACCTCAAAGGGGAAAAAAACGAAGCCAGCACAGAGAGCCAGAGAAGGAAGACAGCAGCGCGGGTGTCTGTGTGGCACTTGTAGTTGTTCCTGATATCAGGCCCTACCCCTGACCTCCCCACGGCTTGTTTTTCCTGTTCACTTCATCTTTAGACTCTGTTTCATTCCCATGCGTCCTCCTAAAACACCCTCTTCCTCTTCTGCGCAGCCAGACCTGTGTCTGTACCCAAAATCTTCTTGACTAACACATCGTCGGTCCCATTTGTTTTAGCCTCGGAGAATGCATTTTTCCCAAAGAACTCAAAGTAGTCTTTGATATTTCACAGATTTCTTTTTAAATCAACAAATGGACATTTCTTCTCTCCAGAAATATTTTTAAAAGAGATTAAGAGTTTGAAACCTGGACATGGTGGCTCACAGCTATAATTGCAGTCCTGGAGAAGCTGGGGCAGGAAGATTGGGAGCTCTAGGCCAGCCTAGGCTACATGGCAAAACCCTGATTCAGTTAGTCAGTCAGTCAATCAATCTATCAATGACATGGACAGGATCAGCATAACTTTTTCAATCAGTGGTACAATACTGTGATTAAAACTTAATGCTAAAATGTTAAATTACTCCTCTTTATTTTCTAACCTAAAACAAGCAAACAGACATCTTAAAACAGGTTTAATATCCTTCCCAACAAAATTTGTTTTAAAGAGGCAACCTGGGTCTCTTCTTCACTGATTACCTAAAATCAAATTAATCTCTGACTGAAAAAAGTTAAGAGAGATCAACTTTTCTGATTAAAGAAAAGGAAATCATTGGTGAACTCTTTCCTTGATCTATTTATACGGGATCTGACCATATGTTAGGAATGGAACTATGATTAATAATTTTTTTAAAAACCAAAACAACTTTCAAACTCTTCTTATGGCTTCTGGACATTATCAATTTACAAATACAAAAGGATTAACATTTTATAAAGTATCAGCTCATCAAATCATAACAGACAAATTTCTAGAAATCTCTGTGAGAGGGAAGGAAAAAATGGACCATTAATCTCATGACAATGGGAATCAATATGTTCCAGGACACTTTAAGAATTACACACTTAACCTTTTGTCATTTTGCGATAGTTTACTAGATCAGTATTTCCATTTGAAGGGACAGCTTTTTGTTTTTGGTGTTATCTGCTTAATAATTTGTTTGCATTCTTTGGCCCATAAGGGCAGAATTTTAATAACAAATGCATTTTAACTTATATGAATCATAAGAAGTAAAGTAGTAGGTTAAATTACACATAGGAAAACTGAAGCAAAAAAGGCAAAATAGCTATGTTTACAGGTAGAGGGCAAAGATCTACTGCAGAGAACACGAGCAGCCAGTGAAGTCACTTGGAAACAGGAAGTTTACACAGAAGACATCTGCTCCTTTTGCCAAGTTAATATCTGGACGGTCAAGGGCAAGGTCCACAGTTCTCAACCGAGCAGCAAGTTACCTAAAGTCACACTGTCCCAGTCTGGATAAAGCCAGTCTGCTGTGTAAATAAGTGAGATGCATGGAAATGCTGAAGGATTCCTTCCCTTGGAAAAGGCTGTAAAGGACACTGAAATATATAAGGGAATCTTCATTCAGAGACTCAGCGGCTCTTTTTCTCTGAATTCAGGCAGCCTCTCTTTAGTGCAAATGATCACAGGATCCTCTGCCTGTGGCCCCACTATTCTCAGCAAGAGAGTGGACAACATGAAGTACTTAAACTGCTTAGTCCCAAATTATTCTCACACGACTTTATTCCTTTACTTCAAAAACATCCTCAGCAACAGCAATATTGCAAAAAATCCACCCTTATGCACGACTAAGATTAAAAGACACTGACTCTAAAGCAGTGACTAAAGGCTGTGATAGTCCTTAATTGCAGAGGTGTTAAAGTGGGGTGGCGGAGTTAAGTTTTGGAATAAAAAAAAAATCTATGTATTAGCTTCCAACAACCAGCACCAAGAACTGCTGGCTCTCCTCGTGTTAGATCACTCTTTCAAAACTTTGCTCCTATGGTTACCATATCCACCTCAGAGTAGATCTGTCTCATATCAAACATAGAATTCTAGGAGACTCCTCCTACCAGATGTTCTATGCCAATGATGGCGAACCTTTTAGAGACAGAGTGCCCAAACGGGAACCCAAAACCCACTTACTTATCACAATGTCCATATTGCACTTGAACCTGAATGCTGAGGTTTTAGAGAAAACAACTCATACATTAACATTTTTTATATTAAAAGAAAAATACAGTAAGACACATGCCATAGGTTTACCACCACTATTCTATGGCAATCTCTTCCCAGGGCCCCATCCATCCCATCTCACCTAGTCTGCAGATTAACCTGATTAATCCTCCTAAAAGGCACAGTGGGTCATGACTCAGTCACATCAGAAAACTTGGAAGTCAATACTCACGGATTCTTTACCCTGGTGTTCAGATCCTCTACTACCTCATTTCAATGTACCTGTGGACCAGTATTTCCCAGTAAGCACATGCAAGAAATTGCTTGATGGTACATTTGTATATTTTACTACGTGACAGGCTTTCATAATTAAACAAGCTAGTATAAATAGCATTACAGTAGCTGTCCTGTTGTTGGACACAATAGGCAATACTCACAACTTAAAGGAGGAAACACTTAATTTGCTCGTGTTTTTAGTCTCTAATTGGCTGGCTCCAAGGGAAATATCATGGGAGAAGAATGCAGAGGAACAAAGCTGCTCAGAGCATGGTGGCTGGGAAGCAGAACAGAGAAACAGCGCCAGACAGGATTGGGGTGGGGACCATGGGTGGTGCCCAAAGTCACATAGCCATCACCCAACCAGATAACCCAGGAGTGTGCTTTGTCATTTGGCTTGGTTTCCCTTAATCCAGTGAAGCTGACATATCAAGATTAACAGTCACAATCTGCCCCTCTTTAACACATCTTCACCTAAACTTGATCTTCAAGTAAAGACAACAGTAAGTTCCTAATTCAATCAGATATAATTCAGCTATCCAAGGCCCAACCAGAAATGCCATCACTGTGACCACTAATCCTGATATGTCAAATTTGGTGGATTAAGGAACACCTTGCCAATACAGAAAGCATACTCCTAGGTGTGCTCCAGTGGGTCACACAGGTGTGACTTTGGGTACTTTATGTAGTACCCCTTCCTCTTTGGTACTATGTGTAGCTCTGTTACCAGGCTGCTGTGAGATAAGAAGCGTTCATCTGCTGTGCTCACCTAGTGTGCCATTTCTGCCTTTGCGCCCGCTGACCATGGACTGAACCTCTCAAAACCGAGCCAGTTAATGCTTACTTCCTTTAGAACATGGGTTTCCAGTATTTTCCTCAAGTAACAACAGATCTAACAGAGGTATTAAATATATTTTTCCCAGAAGATTTCTCAGAAAATCTCCAGGGAAGATAATAATACTCAATGTTTCTAAAACTAATTTCACCATAGAAATTTTTTGGTGCATATTGTCTCTCAAAGACTAGTATTTTAGCGGATACAAACTGTGACTTACAGCTTCAAATAATTATTTTTCTAATTTCTGCCTCTATTCTTGGTACAATTTAGTTCCTTTGTCAAGGATGCATTTCCACCTCATTCATGAGTATTTAACAATTTTCCTTTTGTGCCAGGCCAAATTCAAACACCAGTTCATTTTCAAAGCTCCGGTTGAGGTCCTAAGCTAGGAGTAATATCTCCTAAAGAACCTGATTCTACTTTCCATTTAGTGTCTCTTATTTTCTTTTAAAGCTATTTTTCTGATATTTTATTCAATTCCTGTAATCCCTTTCAAAGCAGTAGCTGGGTCTTATTCATTTTTTATTCTTCTCAGCACCCAACAGTGTCTTTAATTATTTGTAAGTGAAAGATTCAAATGTAGCCTAATACTGATGCCTTCTCATAACTCCCCTTGACCCCGTCACATACCAAGCTTCTTCAAATGCTTTTTCCTTTGACAAAAATGAAAAAAAAAGCACTAGCACTTCCAAAACTCACCACCATCTTTAAAATCGTGTAGGAATAAAAAAAAATCCAAAACTTTCAGAAGAAAGATTGATGTTTTAAAGTCTTACTGAACATGCTGTCACTTCATCTTGTCATTTTATAACCCATGATTCGAGGAACAAGCTAAAAACAAAAGAAAAGCCTATGTTCCTCTTATAAGGTAACCTTACAAAGTCATTTTTTTCTTGAATTGTGTGAAATGAAGAACACAATAAGAACATTTAATAAACCGATAAGCACTCAAGATTTCAGAGCCTTTACTCTTCTTGGTGTTCCTGAACTTCAACCTTTCCTTGAGGGACTCCTCCACATCACGATTGACGTCCATGTCTCCTTTCTAAACACAAAAGACCAAAAGGTCGAAAGCTTACACTGTTCCTTTAATGTGCATACCTTTCGTGTATTCTAACCTGCATCAGTACCAATATGTACCCGCTAAGGATACTGGCTGGCACTGGTCATGTTAATAATACCAGCCATGGGGACATGGGTCTTTCACAAATGGGAAGGGGACCAAGAATTGGAGGAAGGGAAGAGGGACAAAGAGGAAAGAGATAGGAAAAGACTAAAGATGCCTCATGTACATTTGTCAACTCCCCATGATAAATATGATCATTATGTACTGCAAACATGCACTAGTAAAAAAAAAATTAAAATTTTAAAAATGGCAACAGGGCTGAGAGTGTAACTCAGGGCTGAGAGTGTGTCCCTAGCAGGCATGAAGCCTGGGCTCTTGTCTCCAGCACTACAAAAATAGTAATAAGAACAATTATTGCTA